ATATAGTTTCTATTTATATTTAGCAATATAAAAATAATTTAGTAACAATATAGTAGCAATATAATAACAATACAATAGCAATTTAGCAGCAATTTAGTAGCAATAAAATGTAGTAGTGTAGTAGTTAATACTATTGTAACTGCTCTATTACTATTATTTGACTATTAAATAACAATTAAGTGGCAATTAAATAGTGACGTTTATAAAAAGTGGGTAGTTTTATCAATGTAAATAATAGGGCTCTAAAAAAGTATCGAACTGGTATCAAACTGGTATTGAAATGGTACCAATCTATAGTAAATTTAATATATGGATTGTGACCTACTTATATGTTTTTATAGTAAATTTAAGTATCGAACTGGTATCAAAATAGTATAGTTAGGAGCCCTAGTAAATAATAAAATTTTAAAAAAACTTTAAATTCATATTAAAATAAAACCAGTAAATTTATAACATAGTAATTAATACTCTATAGATTAAATTACAAGATATTAATTTAATTTTAAGTAAAAGTAATTAAATAAAACCTATAATATTTGATATTATAATTTATTAAGTATTATTTTTCATATAAAGTCATTTCATATACTAATACAGCAGATATTAAAATTGTAATTTTTTAGAAAAGATGTTATAATATAATAATTATCTAATAAATATTATAATATTTGTTAGAAAGTTATTAGATATATAAGATATCTACTTTTAACCAATAAATTTGGAGATTGTTTTTTTAATATCTGATATTTTTTTTATAAAACTCTATTCATATCTTATTTTAATTCAATAATAAACTAATCTGATAGTACTTATTTTAAAAAGATATAAAATCAATTTAATAACAAAAGTATAAATTTATTTAGATAATAAGAATAAATTATAAGTTCATTTTGAATATTCTTGAATAACATTTAAGCTAATAAGAAATTAAATAATTAGTTTAGCTACAAGTAATAAATAATAAAGTAAGATAATTTTTAATAGAACATGTAAAAATTCTATAGATATTTTATTTATTACAATAGAATATTATTCCAGTATATCTCTTTATTTTCCTTTAACTTTTCTCCAATAAAATAAAACAGTTAATAAATATATCAGTGACATAGCAATAATAAAACTTTAATATAGTAGTTTTAATCTTTATCTAATAAAAAAAAATTAATAGCAATAACTAATATTTGAAAAAATTCTAATATAATTTAACCTATATAAAAGATCAATTAATATTATAATATAGTTTATTTATTTATTATTTTTTTTAATCCTACAATTAGGTTGGTGTCATTTATTTATTAAATTACAAAGAATCATTACATGCATGAGAATATATGCAAAATACAAATTTCCTTGACTCAACTTACTTATCAATAGCCAAAATCTTTAGATGTGATTTATGGAAGTAATATATTGTTCTTTTAAAGGATAGGATTAAGATCTTGAACTTCCAATAGGATCAAAACCTGCAGATCACCTCTATAGTCATGACCATAAATCCAAATTGTGTCACCCCCTCTTGTAGAAACTATGTAAGAGGAAAAAGGAATAAAAAAAGGAATTTTTTTAACAAAAAGAAAAGAAAAAAAAGCTATCATCTATTTTAACTATTATTGAAAAAGTTATCTCAATGAACTTAAAACCCAAGCCTCTTATGGTTTCCTACTTCTTATCACCTGTGGCCAGACAAACTGTTTAATTTTCATTGGAGTAATCAATATCCAAGAACATTTAAGGACACTTCCAGGAGAGTATTTCTTGAAACTTTACACTTGAAGACTTCTAATTAGAAAGGATGTTGATTTTCTATTGTTGTTTGTTTTTTCAAGTCATGTCTTCTGGAATTATTGCTTCACTTAACTGGTGAATAGTTTCAAGATCCCTTTCTCCAACCATTTTCAGGATAAATATCGATACTTCAACTTGATTATAACATAGTTTATATATAGCAATGTATATAAATACAGTATATATAAATATTAATCTTAATAAAAATCTGTTAAGCAAGATCTAACTGACATTTTTTAAAAAAAAAGTGATATTAAAATAATATTAATTTATAATAGATTTAATATATGGATTATGATTTAATAAATATATTAAAAATCTTTTTATAAATTAATTTTTTTGTTTAAACTTATCTATTTAGTTTGATTATTGCTTTTCTATCTCGATTTATTATATATTATTTAATATATTTGGTTATTTTTTTGTATAATTTTCGTTATTTTAATATTTGCTTTTTTATCTTCAATTATAATAAACATTCAATTTTATTTATAATTCGAACAAATATTGTAAATATAAATAAGTTAGTATTAGTAGTGATTATTTTTATTTTGTATTAAATCTTATTGCACCTAATATTTTTTATTATAAAATTCTTATTTTCATCACTTTTGGTTAAACTTAATTGGACTGGACGAACCAATTAATAATTTTAAATAGCTATCTCTTAAAATTTAGTTTTATATTGTTAAATGTATACAGAGAACCTTTCCTAAATGCATCTACTTATTATACTGTATTTTCTCTCTCTAAATGCATGTCAAGCTTGATCTCAAGTACATATAACTTTAATAAAATTCCTTTATAAATGCACACCCTCTTTAAATATATATATTTTTAAAGTTTTTTTACGTTCCCGAAGGGAGTGCATTTTACTGTATATAATTGTTTTATTGGATTTTAATTAAAAATATTTTAATTAAATTTGTCCAAAGACTTTTGTAATAGACTGCATATTAATCACAAATATTTATGAATTTGATAAATATATATATACAGTATATACGTATGTAAAATATATCGATAAAATCTTTAAACTCAAGTTTTCAAGTTTTAGCATTACCTAGTAATCGCAATTATTGAAATATTTATGGTTCATTGTACCTTAATTTTATTAATTTATGCCGGTTCATGAATCACAATAATACAGGTAAAAAAGTCACAACTAAGCAATGTTTGCCAAATAATCTTTTACTTCTGAGGGGGTCAACTTTCTGAACAGTGGAGGTTCCTTTCCTTCTGTAAATCCCGTCGAACCGCCTCCTATAATACCAATCTCAATTGAATTTTCAGTCATCTGACCTTCAAACCCTTCTTTGAG